GACGGTGGCGGGTCGGGAGGGGGCCGGGAGGACCGCGTGGAGGGGAGGGGAGGGCCCGCCAGGCCCGGTACCTGCAGCCGGGCGGCGACAGCGAGTGGAAGGTGGAGAGAGAAAACATCTCCGCGCGGTCCGCCATCTTCTCCGGGGAGAGGCCTGCGGGGGAGGGAGGCGCCCCGCGTGGCCCCCTGGTCCCCGGCTCCCCCCTCACCTCGTGACACGCCCTGCGACACCCCGCCCGCGACACCCCTCGACACCCCGCAGGACACCGCGGCGGAGCGAGCGCCGCAGGGGGAGGGGAGAGGCGGAGGCGCGGGAGGAGGCGCGGAGGGCGGGGAGGGGCGCGGGCCGCGGCGAGCTGGTAGGAGGAGCGGCGACGGTTTGACGCGAGGCTCTGGTTGGGGAAGGACCGAGCGCGTGTTTGTTTGGGGCGGGGGCGGGTGAGAAGCGGATTGGCGGAGACGGGGATCGGGTTCCGGTGCAGGAGGGTCTGCGGGTGGGGACAGGCGAGAGGGACGGTCCGCAGCGACGATCCTGCGGGCGGGGAAGTCGGGGAAGGCGGCGGCCCGGTTCGCAGACCTCTGTCGGGTTCACTGGGGTTTGGGGCGGGGGCACGTGGCGTGGGTGCGCCCCAGCAGCTGCACCGACGTCTCCAGGAACCAGAACAGAAGAGTTGGGGGTCCCAAGCTGGGCAGCGCGTTGAAAGGGGCTGGAGAAGCCGTTGGCTCTTGGGTGTTGGGTGCGGATGCGGCCTGGGGAGCTGTCCGCTTTGGGGTGCTGATCGAGCCCAGAGGAGCTGTCCGCCCTTGGGTGCTGATCTGGCTGGAGGAGCTGTCCAGCCTTGGGTGCTGGCTGGGAGAGAACAGAGACCTCTGCGGAGGATGCTGATCCGGGCTGGACTCAGAGTGGACCACAAAGAGGTTGCTGACTGGGGCTGACACTGAACTTTCAGTGTCCAGTGCAGGCCATGCGAGTGGAGAGAGGTATCGATGGGCACTGGGTGAAGTTCTACCCCGGAAGCTGTGCTCATTCAATTGGAAAGATTTTTCTTGAGCTCCAACTATGTGACTAGCATTGTTTAGGGTTCAAGCTGCGTGAGAAGAGCAAAATCTGAAATTGGGCTCAAGAGTTAGATTTGGTCAGCGTCATCTGGCGTTGGAGTGAGGGGACGGTAGATCATGGCTAGGAAGACGGTTGGTAAAGGCAGGTTAGGCAGCCCTGGCTGGTGTGGCTCAGTGGCTGAAGTGTTAGGCCATGCACTGAAGGGTTTCAGGTTCCATTCTCAGTCAAGGGCACATACCTGGGTTACAGGTTCAATCTGGCCTGGTCGGGGCATGTGTGGGAGGCAACTGATCAATATTTCTCTCTCACATCTCTCTCTCTCTCTCTCTCTCTCTCTCTCTCTCTCTCTCTCTCTCTTTCTCTCTCTCCATCTCTGTCTCCCTCTCTCAAAGAGTGGGACAATGAAGTTGAAATAATAAATACAGAACAAAATTGGCATTTTCACACAAATCTTCTCACTGGCTAGTGTCATAGTCCCAAACAGGCCTGGACTGGAGCCTTCGTATTAATTAGCTCCCTTACATATGAACCCAGAGGATTTTCTGTTCACTGTGGTAAGTGTAAAGGGAACACCCCAGCAAAGTATTCCAGGAAATATCAGACTGAGGAATGTTTGGTGAGGATGGCTTCTCCAGTTCCCCCAGTCCCTCCCAAAGATGCACGGAATTGGTAGTGATAGTGGTCGGCCTGACCAGCGAGAGGTCCTAATCTTTGTATTCAGCCCACCCCTTACCCCTGCTGGCTACAAATTGGAAGCACTTGATCGAACAGTCATCTTGGGAATGAGAGACATAAGGGCAGAACAAGACAAAGGGAACCTGGATCCTTAAGATTCATGTAATATGGCCAACATTTAAGCCCAGGACTGGCTTTCTCTAAACTGGTACAGAAGATAAATAAGCATGCCTATGTAAACTGCATTCAACTGTAAAGGTTGTTCACTGAGCAATTCCAGGGACCACACTTAGTGTATTCTGTGTGTCCAACCACATACCACATCACTAAAATGTCCTTTTACCATAAAATTCAGTTATTCAGCATCTTTGTGATTCATGGCAAATATTGTCCTAATTGCTACAGAATATAATTCAGGATAACCAGTTTGGAGAGAAATTTAGTAACATTAGTAAAATTGAAAATACACGTATCTTATGATCCCTATGATATACTATAGCAGTGGTTCTCAAAATATGGTCTGCAGATTCCTGGAGTCTCCCAACATCAGCAAGGTCAAAATTATTTTGTCATAAGTTTGCCTGCCACTGTGCTGTCATTTGTGTCGATGGAGCAAAAGCAATGGTGGGGAAAACTGCTGGCTCCTCCTACTAGTAACCATCAAATTCTTTCCCTGCCACATGCTCATGGGGGGAGGGGAGGAAGCACTTTCACTTAATAATTTCCTTGATGAAGCCATAAAAATTATTAAATCTTGACAGGTAATTCTTAATATTCAGGGTAATGATGTAAAGCACCGCGTGCGGAAGTACAATGGCTATTGCAACTGATTACACAGTTGTCGAAACTGGCAGCTGAGCTAGCCACTTTTTTCATAAAACACTATTTTCACTTGAAAGTTGACAAACTACAGTTAATCTGACTTGGCTATTTGACAGAAACTTCCTCAAAAATAAAGTGAATGTGGCACTTCAAGGAAAACAATAGTATTTGTTGCCAATGATACAATTTGAGTTTTGAAACAAAAACTAGAATTTTGGAAAATCTGTGTCATCTCTATGAGCTTAAAGTTTCTCAATATTTAAATATTTTTCCGATGAGAGTGGTGGTATGTTAACAAGTGACATTATATAATAAAATGTGTCAAAATTTGGAAGATCTACATAACTCCATGAATCAATATTTTCCAAATGACCCAGGAAGGCATGATGTTTCAAAATTATGCATGAGTGAAAGACTCATTCAGCATGCAAGGCAGGCCAATGGATTTTAATGTAAGAGGACAAAACAGTTCATTGATATGGTTTCAAATTCCAAATTGCAACTTACCTGAGTAACTACTTTTTGTCCGGTCTTGGTGTGTAGTATTAACAAAGATGCACAGTTATCTGAAAAAGCTTTGGAAAAGTTACCAACTGTAAATTTATGTTAGGCTGGATTTTCTTCATATATTTGAACCAAAACAACATATTGTAAGGGATTGACTGCAGAGACAATTATGGGGAACCTGTTATCTTCAACTAAGCCATATATTAACAAAACTTGAAAAAATGTAAAAACAAGGCCACTCTTCTCATGAAATTTTTATTTTATAAAAGTTTTTATAAGATATAATTTATGTTAACATGTAAGGGTTTATTATCATTTAAATGAATAAATAAATCATTCCCCCTTGAATACACCATACTTCACGTATTCAGGCAGAAAAAACAAATCACGTTCAAGGGAGAAAAATTAGGCTGGATCCAGAAATTTTCAACTGCAATATTCAAGGACAAAATGGGGTGATGAGCTGAAAGCTGTGAGGGAAAGAATTCGTGATGGTGGTGGTTGAAAAAATAGATACCCCAAAAGATACCCATGTCCTAATCCCTGGATCCTGTAAATGTCACCTTATTTGGGGACAGGATCTTTTCAGAAGTGACGAAGGGTTTTGAGACAAAGAGATTATCCTGGGTTATCTAGGTTGGCCCTAACTGCATCACTGTTCTCACTTGGTGTGGAAGCAACCAGGCAGACTCAGGTGCATCGTGCCAGTGCCAAACCAACTCCTCATGCCCATTGAGTAGCAGCAACCCTATCTCCTCAAAAATAATCAGGAACAATAACCTCTCCTTTGCCTGCTGGTGCACCAGCATGAGGAGCTCAGTGACCTGGTGGATTTCAAGGACTCAGACTCAGTGTTGGTGTCCTTCCCTGGAACCAGAGGAGGTGCCCTGTGGAAGTGCTCCCTACCCGGGACCCAGGGGCTGTAATCCAGCAGAGCTCACTCTTGCAGAGACAGAACATACAAATTCTACAAGTGGGCCATCAAGAATAATGGTGAGAGACAGCTCATCCCAACCCCTACTACTTGGACGTATATTTGTTTCTGGATTCACATATTATATCTACTGGGAACACAGATCCATACACTGGGCTTTGACGCAAGTGTACATACCCCAGCTCCTCAGGACACTGTCCAAGAACTGGCTCCTTAGCTAAGTCTTTTTAATATATTTTTATTGATTTTAGAGAGGAAGGGAGCGGGAGAGAGAGATAGAAGCATCGATGACGAGAATCATTGATTGGCTGCCTTCTACATGCCCCCCACTGGGGATTGAGCCCATAACCCAGGCATGTGCCCTTGACCAGAATCAAACCCTGGATCCTTCAAGTCCGCAGGCCGATGCTCTATCCACTTACCCAAACCAGCTAGGGCCTTAGCTAAGTCTTTAAGAGATCATTCCATCTTCCTATGAGACTGGCTGCTTGGAGACAACACAGAAGGTTGGAGAAGCATGGGATCCTGTGGCAATCCACACACTGTATACCTTTCACTGTACAATGAGTTTCTGGGCCCAAGGTGATGTTATATACGATTCCATGCTGGTAAATTGTGTACTCTCTAAGCTCCTGCAATGTGATGCCACTGAGACACTGTGAGAGGAAAGGCTAACCCACACCCAGAGGTGTTGATTCCTGGGTGGAATCACGGGTCAGCAAGTCATCTAAGGATGGTACCATATCAGGAGCTCAGCACTGAGCTTGGCTGCTAACAGGTCAGAAATCCAGCAGCAGGAATAATTAGATGAACCTTGATAAGAGAGAGCCCATTTTGGTGGACATACCCAGCACCTCTGCCACCTTGGCAACTCCATTCACAGGCCCACCACACAAGCATGGGGTAGCCAAGGGCAGAAGCTTGGACATCTGCCCATCCACTTTGTTGTTGAGTGACCCCTCTGCAGTGGGTATAACATGAGGCACAAAGATGCATCCACTTGTGACCACTCCCACAGGTCCATCTTCTTCTCCAGCCCTCCTTGTCTCCAAAGTCCCTCTTGCTCTTTCTAGTTCCCTGACCAACCAGCAAGACATCTGTCAGGACCCAGAAGCCCACCACTACTCTGTCCACTCCGCTTC